GTCATGATGTTTAATTAAGGGCAGGCAATTTTCTGTACCTGCCACCCTCTGTGGGTGGCAGACTGCCAAAATGCCAGACAAAGGAACAGCAGCAACAACTCGGGATGGTGGCTGGGAGTCCATATCTGGTTGTGAATTTTTGTTTAATATTCAGCAATAGATGGGTTGTGCAACCTATTTAAAGGTTGAAGTGCTGTTGCTGGGGCTTCCTGGGAGAGGCAATTCTCCTCTCCCTTTTTTTTTGTCCTTAAGAAGGGCATTCCAGAGGGTCTAGAGTTTTGAGAAAGTGGAGTAGTTTGGTGGTTAAAGACATGCTCTGTAATCAAAAGCACCTAACCTCTAGACTTGACAAATTTGGCCATTTTAAACCACACCATTATAGCACTTTGATCAATTATAACTGGCATAGTTCCATCCTATGACATCCTATGAGTGGTAGTTTAAGGAGGACAGCCAGAATGTGCCTCACCAAACTAGAATCCCCAGGATTCCATAGGAGATAGCCACAGCAGTTAAAGTAGAATCAAAATGGTTTGGTGTGAAAGAGCCCCTGGAGATCCACTATCAATCAGTATATACAAAGAATAAACCGTTGTGGCCCTCCAGATGTTGTTGCACTAAAGGCATTCTTAAATGAAATTTTGACTGGATTTCTACTCTTTCATTTATCTGTTTTGTAAGTGGAAGCTTCTCCACTACATATAATGCTGACATTGGCTGTGTCAGGAGGTTTGTTTTTTAAAAAGTAGGAATAGTTTGCTATGAGACAGTTTCTTATGCTCATCTGTTCTGTCTTAACTTCTCAAGAATTTTTATTTCTAGGGGTCCTTTTGGGTTAAAGAAGAACCAAGCTACTCATTAGAAATTGTGCACGACCATCTTGTATCCTTGCCAGGTGATGTAGACCAGCTGCACAAAGAAGTAAGAGTCTTGCCTTTCATTTTTAATTTAAATCTACATATGTTTTAATGAAATCAGCATGTTCCAAGGCATTAGCTGTTTATCAGAAATTTTGGCATCAGAAGCAGAAATAACATGGAATGAATAGGGATAAGCTCCCATTCCACAAAAAAATTCCAGTTCAATATATTTCAGCAGTGGCATCACTTGGGGTGGTGGGTTTCAGACCGCGCTAGGTAACACCCCAGAAGAGGGGTGATACATGATTGGCTCCTCCTCCCCCTTCGGTACAGGAGAGGTGAATGCTCATCTTAACCAGCTGCTCCATCTCTGGGCTTTCTTCTGGGAGGAAGTCTGGCAATGGAACTGCAGGAGAGCTGAACACACACCCTTCCTGGGTGACATCCTATCTCATGACACCAGTGTATTGCAGCAAACTTTTTCTTCAAAATTAACAATATGCACAGGTGAAAAGATACCACCGAGTCAGGTAGGCCTTGTATAAGTGAATAAAAACATTTTAAACCTCCTAGAAACCATTTCAAAACTTCTTCCAAAATGCACCCACCCACCTGATAGCTTTCACATTTCTTATGATCTGCATTTTGGTGGCCAAGTTATAGATCTATGCTTTTTTTAAAAAAAAAAAACGTGTTGGAGGTAGCTGGAGAGGCAAGCTAATCTACTTTCTCCTTTTCTTTTCTTTTCTTTTCTTTTCTTTTCTTTTCTTTTCTTTTTTTTCTTTTTTGCTGTTAATGCAAAACAATGGAAAAGAGGGATTCTGGAGTAAGTTGTAGGTAGGCACATGTAGCTATGCTACCAAGGATCAGCTATAGTTAATGCCTTCCCAGTTCAAGCATTATTGCATTATTTACTGCAGACATGCTGCTGCAACCTGATACTTAAACTATGTCTCTCCAGTCCTTTTCTGCCATTCTCCCAATGCTAATGCTATTCAAAAAACTTCCAGAAGAAAAAAAGGAAAGCTGTTAGATTTTCTAACAATACCCTTCTTTGTCAGAGGCTTTGTTAACTGAGGTATGCCTGTAGTAACCTTAGGGGGACTGCAGACAGGTGCCTCTGGGCCACCCTGGGAAGCAGCAGATTGGGGTCATAGCAACCCCATGGCGTGGCCCCGATCCTCCCTTTTGCCACCCCGAAAAGAGCAGCAAAATGCCATTCCTTTTAGGGGCGGCAAAAGGCTGCCCTGAGGGCTGGCGCCTGGCTCTTCAGCATCCTTTTTGGCACATTGTGTCAGAAGGCTGCGCCGGAAGGGCATCCTGATGCCAGTGCCATGCATAATGGTGCATGGCATCAGGACGCTGTTGGCGTGGGGTTGGGGCAGCCAGCATACAGCTGGCCCGCTCCAGCTCTGCCTCCAGGCTGGCCCTTTGGGCCCGTCTGCAGAGGCCCTTAGTTAACTATTTACTAAGATGACTGTTCATCACATAAAACTGTTCTGCACAGATTTGCGATGTTCTGTAATAATGCTGCTTTCAAACACTTGAAAATGATAAGAGAATTTGATACAATTGGGACTCTCAAAGCCTAGCAGTTATAAGAGATTGATCGTTCTGTGGATATGTGGGGTTGACAGTAGCACTTGTAATCTTTCTATGGAATCTGAGAATATTAAGAAACTAATTAGTTTCATCAAGTAATATTGGGGCTGATGCAGAGTGGCCATTTGGGGTGGCACAGAGCCGCCCTAGGAAGCAGCGGATCACAGCTGCGGCAAACCTATGCCGTGGCCCTGATCCTCCCTTTTGCTGCCCCGAAAAGAGAGGCAAAATGCCGCTTCTTTTAGGGGTGGCAAAAGGCCGCCCTAAGAGCCGGCACCACAGCTCTTCAGTGCCCTTTGGGTGCAGTGTGTTTAAACACTGCACCGGAAGGGCGTCCTGATACCGCGCGCCATGTATACGGCCATGTGGCATCAGGATGGCGTTGGGGTGGGGTTGGGGCAGCTGGCATGCGGCTGCCCTTTCCCAACTCTACCCCCATGCCAGCCCTTTGGGCCGATCTGCCACGGCCCTCAGTTTCCCTTATGACTCACAATGAATTCTAGCTATCTTCTTTATTCTTTGGTACAGATCTTACAATGACTCTTTAGATAACAGGCTAATTAACCTTTCTTTCTTTCTTTCTTTCTTTCTTGTTAGTCAACAAGAACATTGGGAAGAGGAAAACATCTCAGCAATGATACTGAAAAGACCTTAAACAAGAGTCAAGAGCTGACTATATTTATCAGCACATTACAGGAAAGTGTTAAAGGTAACATCCTCCGTGGTAGTCTACAACATGTAGTGATATTTTTGGAATAAAATATTATTTATTCATAAAAGAAAAAAAACATGTTTACTATGTTTGTACAAAGGGAATAAAGAAAAATCACCCCCAACTGAGCTTTTCTGTCTTCATCTAGCATTGATAGAAGTGGCAGCATCTGTCAGCGAAACACTAGGTACTGATTTCCCATTGTCCAACAGAACATTACAAGAATTACAAGATGAGATTCCCATCATGTTGGATGTAATGCGTGGAAGACGTTTTAAGCATCTGCATCAAAATAGTACTCTTGAACTGAAGTAAGCCTACTGGAGTTTTTCCACATGCTCACATTTGTAAAGGTTTTGACCTCTTGGGGGACAGAGAGGGCCTGCAGACATGGTAGAATACTCTCCACAGCTTGTAGAGGGTATTTTCTACCCCCTGAGGGCAGCTTGCAGCCTGTAGGTTACACTTTGGCCACCCCCTGCAAGAATTGTGAGAATCTGCCCTGTAGAATTGTGTAGCCTTCTAGATATTGCTGGACAACAGCTCCCAGCAGGCTTAGCCAGAATAGTCAGTGGTAAAGAATGCTAGGAGCGTGCCATCTTGAGGACAGCACAGTTCTGTACTGTAAATGCAGAGTTCCAGGTTGAAAAGCCTAGTAGGAGGCATAGGAGGTTTAAATACTTGCGCCCCTCCATCCTCAGTGTAGTCCTGGTTTGGTTCATGTCTGCTGCACCTACAGTTTTTATTTACAGGAAGTACTTGCTGTGATAGATCACTTTTTGATGGTAAAAATTGCTGGAGCAGAGACCATGGTCCAGTGAGGGAAACAGAGCAGTGGGGCAGAGGTTGACTTTTGTTCTGGTTTAGGTTCCTTGTGCTTACTACATGTTTAAAGTATCATTTCATTCATTTCATTTATATGCCATCTTTCTCCCAGAAGGGAGCCAAGGTAGCTCACAGATACAGTTGTCCCTCCCTGTTTGCTGACTTAGCGTCCACGGTTTCACTTTTCACGGGAAGGAGAAGCATGGAGGGATAAGATGGTGGTGCCCACCTGCATTAGCACCATGGCTGTGTGCAGCATTATTATCAGTAGGGCTCAAATATTTGCGAGCCACCGTTTTTGTGTGTGTGTGGGGGGTCCGGAACGGATCCCCTGTGAGTTGGGAGGGGCTACTGTAAACTGCTACCAAAATACTGAATCTGGTCAAGTTATGTTCATGTGAACCTAGCTATGATTCAAACAGATGTTTTAAACAGGTTATCTGACCATGAGCAATTCTTTTTACATTATGGTTTATATGGAATGTGTACAAGATATAAAGCATAAAATGCCAAAATAAAATATGGTAATGGTAAATCAGTTAGATTTATCTGGTTTTCTGTGATTTTTAGTCCCTACTGCTTTTAAGAAGACAAGCAACTTTGTTTACTGAATGTGTTTTTCTTTATATGGTAGAGCTGCAGAAAGATTATTAACTCGAATCCAAAAAGAATACTGGAGACCACAACAAGAGCTTAAGAACCTGCAAAAAACTGTGAAACGTATCTTTTCAGACCACAGCACCAACCTTCAAGAAGCCAAGAATGTTGTGAATGAAGCTAGCGCTAACATCAATGAGACTAACCGCCTTCTTTTTCTTATTAATAGTAACCTCAAGGAGTGCAATGTAAGAAAACCAGCAGTATGTGTCGTGCAATTTTACTATAGATGTATTTGAGTATAAAAATAGTATTTAAGGAAAAATTTGTTTGAAAAAATATATTAGTATTAACATTAATTAAAAAATACTTGATGTAAGCTATGGTGATTCATTAAGTTTAAATGCTATCTGTTGTGTAGTGGTTTGGATGCTGGACTAATACCCTGGGGACCAGGGTTCAAATCCCTGCTTAGCCATGAAAATCCACTGGGTGACCTTCTCTCTCACAAATTCATAGGAAAGCAATGAAAAACTGCCTCTGAAGAAATTTGGAAAGAAAACTTCATGATAGGTTCAGCTTAGGGTTGCCATAAGTCAGAAATGATATGAGGACACACAACAGCAACATATATCTATCTAGATAGAATTCAAAGACTTAGGGCCTTTACAGACTGCCAGAAATAGTGCAAATTGAGGCCACTTTAACTGTCCTGGCTCAGTGCTAAGGAATCATGGGAACTGTAGTTTATTGTGGCACCAGAGCTATCTGACAGAGAAGGCTCAATGTCCCAGAAAAAAATACAGTTCCCATGATTCCTTAGCACTGATTCCTTAGCACTGTTAAAAGTGACCTCAATTTGCATTATTTCTGGCAGTCTACAAAGGCCCATAGTTGTGTTAGTTTAGAAAATCAGTATGCAAAGGGATCTTGTAGCACCTTTGAGACTAACTGAAGTTGGTAGCATGAACTTTTGTAGACTTGAGCCTACTTCCTCAGGTGCATGAGGTAGAGTGGAAGAGACAGACCTGTTTAAGCAATCTGTATATGTGAATGTATATAGGGGTGTAAAACTTTGTGGGTGAAGAGATGAGGTGACAAGTTCAGTTTTGTTGGGAACAAGGCAGAGGAAGGATATTCTGTAATAGATTAGTCCTTTGTATATGTCTTGCCTTGCTTATTTATTGTTTTTGTTGTTGTTTTTTAAACTTCATGTGCTGGGTATTGTAGTTTTGAGGAATGCTTGCTGTGATTCCATGAGTTTGGCATCCATGCCTGGTGGGTCTGAGCAGACGCGATTGTATCAGAGGGCTTGGCTATAGACTATGGATCTGGTGGTGTGTTCAGGGTGGAACTTGAAGGCATGTAAGTATGTATGCAGTGGCTAAGTAGTTAAGACACCAATTCTGACGATCAGAAGATCAGAAGGTTGGCAGTTTGAGACCCAAATGCTGTATGATGGGGTGAGCTCCTGTCACCAGTCCCAGCTTCTGACAACCTAGCAGTTCAAAAACATGCAAATGCAAATAGATTAATAGGTACCACTTTGGTGAGAAGGTAACAGCATTTGGTGCAGTCATGGTGGCCACGTGACCACTGGAGTAGTCCTTGTACAATGCTGGCTCTTCACCTTAGTAACAGATATGAGCACTGCCCCCTACAGTCGGTTACGACTAGACATTCATGTCAAGAGACTACCTTTACCTTTTACCTTTAAGTATGTATAATGGTCAGTGGGTTTGCATGTGTGTGGTGCTTAGATGTCCATTGCGTACATGTATGGTGGTGTTCAAGAAAGTGAACTTGTTCTGTGGATGGTTCCAGGCTGAGATTAATGGTAGGGTGGAAGTTGTTGAAATTCTGTTGGAATGTTTTGAGTGAGTCCTCTCCATGAGTCCAGATTATTAAGATATCATCAACGTATCTCAGGTAGAGAAGCTGTTTCTGGGTACAAGAATTAAGGAAGCATTGTTCTAGGTCATTCATGAAGATGTTTGCATATTGTGGTGCCATGTGTGTGCCCATGGCAGTATCATTAACTTGAAAGTATATTTTATTACCAAAGGCGACATAGTTGTCTGTAAGAACAAAGCAGTCTTAGTTACAGACTGCTTATATAAGTCTGTTTCTGGACTTTCCACTCTACCCCATGCATCTGAGGAAGTAGGCTCAAGACTACAAAAGTTCATTCTACCAATTTTTCTCATTCAGTTAGTCTCAGAAGTGCTACAAGATCCTCTTGTATATCTCTGTCTAGCATCTTATACTTAAATGAGTATGAATTATATAAAATTTTAGGATATAAAATAACTGCTGTTACTGAGTATTAAGTATTTTTCCCCTATAGAATAAAAAGATCAACATTCAAGAAAACCAGGAGCTCTCTGTAGTGCTGACCAGAGAGGGCAAAGTGCAGGTCGATGCTGCTGCCACCATTGCTAAAGATGTAATTAACTCTACATCTGTAAGTATATAAACACTCAAGTACTGATTTGATAATGTCAGTTATCATGGTTTAAATTTCAGTAACTCTGAATATTTTAGAGTCTAGAAATCCAGTGGGATGGACTGATGCTATGGAATGGCAAACTGAGGCAGCATGTGGATGACCTGGTTAAGCAGATATCTACTCGAGGAGCTCTTGATCTTGTTTACAGAACAGAAGACCATGCCGCTAGCTTACAGAGAATTGTTCATGCATTGGACAAGTGAGTTTACGAGGGGCTTAAAAATTGGAGATGACAAAATTATTTATTACATTTAAATTGGGGTCTGGCTGCATGTGTTGGGGAGATGGGCTAGATTCCTCATGATCTATTTGCATTCCACATATGTTTCTTGTCTGCCTCACAATTTGTCAGTTTTTAGAACTGACAGCATAGTGCATGAAAGATCTTCAGGTATATGAGTATAGCTGATATTACATCTCAAGAAAAAAGTATGCAACTGATATTTGATATACAATGGGCCCTTGGTATCCACTGGGGTTTGGTTCCAGAAACCCCTGTGGATAGCAAAATCCATGGATGTTCAAGCCCCATTTAATACAGTGGATAGTAAAATGGTGTCCCTTATATAAAATGGCAAAATCAAGGATTGCTTTTTGGAATAAATAAAATGCAGGACAAAAGTGCAACTGATGTTCTATATACAACTCAGGAAAAACCACCACATAATTTGAGCTTATTTGTCCTCAAGATTCTAAGACCATAGATCTTTTGAAAATATGACTTACATACAAGCTAAGCAGGAGGTCTAACTGGTATATAACATTCATGTATCATAACAGGATATTTTTGTCAGCCTAGAATTGTGTTAGTAGATGAGAGAGGAAAGGCCTGATGAATGACAGGCTGTATTATTACATGTAGTAAGTTTATATTTACTCTTGGAACAGCCAGGTGAGAAAAGAGGGCGTTCCATATAGATGGATATTTTAGCTGTACAAGAGAGATTATGAGGCCAGATTTAGAGTATTGATTCAGTAAAGAGCATCCAAGATGTACAACACTGATTGAAGACTTGTGGGAAATGCACAGCCAAGGGAAGGGTGCTTCTTTATGGAATCCTATGGGGGAAAAGATGGCTGCCAGACAGCATGAAAGGTGGTGTTTAAAGCCACAGAGGGGGGTGTAAAGATGTAGTTCAAGCTGTGATGAATTGAGAAGATAAGGCAACAGAAGGCACCAGAAAGTAAAAGAGTATGGGATTGAGAAGAACTAAAAAAGGCAGTGAGGAGGCAGTGGTGGGCAGAAATTACTGAAGATAAGATAGCAGAATGCTGACAGTCGTGGGCAGAAATTACCAGAGCAGAAATTACTGAAGAAGGCAAGGATAAGGAGGATCTGCACCAAATGGATAGAAAGAGACTCCATTGGCAGTAGCTCTTAAGAAAGCTAAGATCCTGAGAGTGAGGCAGGAGTGTCACATCTTGAACAGTGGTCTGCTCTCTAATGATCAGTGCCCAATATGTATAGGTTGCCCATACCTGTTAGTTGCTTGGGATGGATTCTGGCTTAGGCATGGGTTGCTGTTGGAGTTACAGAATGGAACCTCTTAAGTGGCTGTTTGAAAGTAATATTTCCAATAATAAGAAAATAAGGAGTAATAGATATAATATTAACTATGGGAGTTTAAAGCAAATATTAGTAGTTTTTGGTATTTCAGAATATTAAGAACAGAGGCAGTAATAGGTATAATACATGCAAACTATATAAAGTTTGTGCTGTAGTAGCTGTTTCAAAATATAGATCTTAAATACAGATCTTATTTAAAAAAATACATCCCCACCCGCAATGTTCTCTGCGTGGCCCCATCTATGGATGGAGGAAGAACATTGCTGTAGGCCAACGTGTTATTTTTGTAGTATGTTTTAACTGTTTTAACTTTTAACTCTTTAAATTTGTAATTTTAACTGTTATATGATTTAATACTGTTTTAAGGGGGGGATTGTTTTTGGGATATCTCATGTGATTTTATTGTTGGAAGCCGCCCGGATTGGGTCCCCAAAGGAAGGGATATAAATAAATTTTATTATTATTATTATTTTTATTATGTATTCACAGTTTGTGTTAGTGTTTCTGTTAATATATATATATATATTCTGTTAATATAATATATATATACCGTATTTTCCCGCGTATAAGACGACCCCCCCATTTTCCCAGTCAAAATATAGAGTTTTAGCACCTCTATCCTCATTATCCTTATATCCGGCGTATAAGACGACCCTCCCACTTTAGCCACAGATTTTGCAGGTAAAAAAGTAGTCTTATACGCAGGAAAATAAGATATATATATATAAACATATAAATAAAATCTATTTTAAAATCTTAAAAGTGTAATTTCAGTCTTAAGCATGGATACCTCAGGGTTATCTGATTGCAGCAATACATTGGTTGAGAGTGACCTAGGCTGCATCTGCACTGCAGAAATAATGTAGTTTCACACTGCTTTAGCTACCATGTCTCATTGCTATGGAATTCTGGTATATGTTGTTTTGTGAGAGATTTAGTTTTCTCTGTCAGAGAGCTTTATGTCATAACAAGCTACAAATCTCAGGATTCCATAGTAGTGAGTCATGTCAGTTAAAACAGTGTCAAACTGGATTATTTCTGTAGATGCAACCCTAGTGATAGTAGAAGAGATTATTGTATAAATCAGAATGTCTGATTCTTTTATGGGGAACAGGGGAGAAATGGACATTGAAAAACTCATTAAGGTGGGCTAATACTGTATACTTTGCTCTGACTCTAGTTCACAATACATTGAAATGTTCATTGAGTTTAGAAGTTACTGCACAGCTCAAGCAATGCATTTTGCCCATCCTGGTGTATGAGGATTAGTGTGAATGGCCACCTTCCATTCCCTGTCCACACATAGCCAGTAAAATCATCCAGGCTGGACTACTAATGTCAAAGTCCTTCTGCATTTAACTTTTTTGTTCATTTTAAGCTGTAGTAGCACTAATTGCCATAG